TCTGTTACGCCTATATAGGGTAAATACCACATTTGGTCATTGAAATTACTAAACCCTTTTTATCTCCCGTTAATGGAGTTGGACGAGAACTAACGGGAGAATGACTAAATGTGACGTGTTTCAGTAATTCGAGTGACTAAATGTGACATGTTTCAGTAATTCGGGTGACTGGAGTTGGAAGGAGGCTAACGGAAGAGTGAATAAATGTGACCTGTTTCAGTTATTCGAGTGACCAAAATTGATATGAAATTTTTCTAGTGACTAAACATGACACGATTTAGTAATTTTAGTGACCAAATGTGACATTTACCCGCCTATATATGTCACGTAATATCTAATTTTCATCTTTGAAATGGTTTCTCTGCTAACGGGAGCGCCACATTTGGTCACATATTTTATAGCAGGCAAATGCCACATTTGGTTAGTGGGATTAATAAATCATGTCATGTTTAGTAACTAGAAAAAATTATTATCAATTTTGGTCACTCAAATTAATGAAACATGTCATATTTAGTCACTCTCTGTTAGTCTCTGTCCAACTTTGTTAATAAAGTCCGTTATGTGTTGACATGGATAACGGGAGCGCCTGGTCAACGCCATTTTGGGCCAGAAATGGTCATACCCGACCCACCACGTCACTAAACCCGCCATGTCGTACACTCAACCCAACCAATGAACCAAACCCGACCCAGATCCAAACTCGACACACTTAACAAAGCAAATCTGTCATCTCTTTCCACCACCTTCATCTCTCAATTCCCTTCCTCGTGCGCACAGACGACGCGTCCTTCCGCTGCAATTGTCGGGCCGTCGAACCCTACACAGTCGTCTGCGGCCCAACGTGTGTCATTCCTCCTCATCCTCTCCAGTGCAGCCGAATCCAACCGAGTCTCCGGCGAGCTGTACGCCGTCCACCTGGACGAGCTTTAGGGCATAGCGCGCGGCCACTACGAGCGGCTACGATCAGAGTGGTACCCATTGACGGTGGAGGAGGAGAGGAAACCATCGCTTCTATGGATGCGTATTTCGCGGTGAGAAGCTACATGGCGGAGATGTTGGAAAGGTGTGGGAAGAGAGGGTATTGGGTGTACGGCGAGAAAGAGGCGCGGGGTTTTATGAGGAGAAAAGATCGGCCCCAAAATATGAGCTTTCTGTAGCTGATTCAGTTGTTTGTCTCTTCTTCTTCTAGTTCTTCAGATCGAGAATGGGGTTTCTCCAATCTGGTTGGTTTCTATGGCAGCGGTTGCGGGGAAGAAGCAGGGGATAAGCGATGGGTGAGGGATCGGAGGCCGTAGGCGGCGAGGTAGTGGTTGGCGCTTCCGGGAGGAGAGCTCATGGAGGATGTAGACGCGGGAGAAGTTGGACGTGAGAGTAGGTTGGCGCCGAGGGTGGCGGCTGCTGGGGGAGCAGAATTGGGAGATATGAGGGTGGAGGATGAGATGGCAGGTTTGATTTTGTTAAGTGGGTTGGGTTTGGTTCTGTGTCGGGTTGGGTGTATGACGTGACAGGTTTAGTGATGTGGCGGGTCTTATTTCTGGCCCAAAACGACGTTGACTAGATGCTCCCGTTAGCCATATCAGCATATAACGGACTTTGTTAACAGAGTTGGATGGAGACTAACGGAGAGTGACTAAATTTGACATGTTTCAGTAATTTGAATGACCAAAATTGATATTAATTTTTCTAGTGACTAAACATGACATGATTTAATAATTCCAATGATAAAATGTGTGCATTTACCCTTTTATAGCAACATGTACTATGGAAATTTTGACAAATAGCAGTTAATCTGCTAGCTAGATAAATATGTGGAATCATTTATTTAAAATATATTACAGTGATGTATAGACGTATAGTGCCACAATTTTTACCGCTTATCTGCAAGGTAAATAGGTGTTTGTCTATATTCGATCATAAATAATAAAAAAATTGTTAGAGCACATGGATTTATAGCGAAATACATTGCAACAAGTTTTGCAACTGCGGATAAAATCTGAAAGTTGGATGTGTGGTTGTCAACATTTAGAAGAAGAAAATCACAAGGATGAGCTACAGCGCATAAATTTATATCGACTTTGTATTTGTGTGTGTGTGTGTGTGTATAACTGTATATGTATAGAAATCCTCGCTGCGGCCAGCAACAAAAATCAAAACATAGGCCCCGCTTGAACAACTTAATCCACGTCTATATATTCTTTCCAAACAAAAACAGGCAAAAACTGGGACTCTTGTCTTCATAACAAATGCAGCCAAAATGCTGTAGTAGCTAGCAGCTGGCTACTGAGTTTCACCGGCGGTTGCCTACTCCGGGACTCGGCACCGAATAGCTCAACTGGTGATGGAAACTCCTCCGGCCGCCGTGATGAACATGATGCCGGTGATGTTCAACATCATAATGTTGACGCATCAAAGTAGAAGAACTGAAACTCGTAATGCTCGGCTCAGCGATATTTCCCCGATGGCTCGGTCCCGACGATATTACTGATGCCGCCTTTTTCATTGCTGATGCTGCTTCATCGGCGCCATTAAGTACTCCTGCCAATGGCTGCACATGATCATGAATTACTCGAGCTCCTGAACATGAATTAGCTCCTAGTGTCTCCAACATGATCACCAGAATCATCACAAAACGTAACAGAACAATATTATTTTTGTTGTATCCCGCCATATCTTGATTTTGGAAGCTGATAGATATGGATGCGTCTGATGATCTCTCTTGGATGTTGGGTGCTGGGGGATCGAGGAACTGAACATTATATATATAAATAGGTGCGTGGGCTGCTTTCAATTCAATTAATAACTTGTGTATATATATGGTAGATAATTAACTTTTTGTTTGCAACCGAACAAAAATAGTAAAATACTGATGATTGGAATATTAAATGATTAAATTTTGAGAATGAAGCCCCCCTTGCAGATAACTCTAGTTGCGACAACAGTTGGACGGTTCTTAGTACTTAACCACACTATGCTCGAACTCGTTCAGCGAACGCGCGGCTATACAGACAGTTGGTGATTACAACATGTTTATTATATTCTATTTTGGTTTCAATGCTGTTTGGCTAATTAATTAGCTAAAGAATGAGTCTTATGTGCAACTGTTTAAAACAACCAGACTAATGGGAAATGAAGTAATACCAGTAGTGGTTATGATATGAGTCCAATTACGTGCCCAATAAGTTGGGAATTAATGGACGATGGACAGAGGTTGATTGATTGATGTCCACGTCGAGCACTTTTGTTAGCTAGGAAGGTGGAAGGAAATGTCGTCGTGAACATATAAGTTGAAGTCTTCAACAGAGCTAACTCTTTTGTTTGGATTAGTATATGTATTGACTTAATTGGGAGTTGGGTCTCCGATATATATCTTTCAACTACTAACTAGGTTGATTATGTCCCCGCGGCTTCTCATAGAATTAGAAGTATTGTTTGCCAACCCGTATTTGATTTTTGATCGCGGTTAGGAGCGTTATAATAGAAAAACTCCTGATGGAATCTAAACTGGTAGGTTATTTTAAATGTATGTTACGATTTAATCACGATTGAGCTACGATTTTAACACAATATGTCTTTATTCAAACTTTTCTTGAATGACTTTTGGTATGATTTTACAATTTTTGATTTAACCACGATTGTACTATGATTTTAGCACAAAATATCATAATGCTAACTTTTTTGGTACGACCTTCGGTTTGGTTTTGCCGTTTTTGAATTTTTTCTGTACATCGAGGCTCGGGTTGGAGCAATGTGCCAAGCCGGATTTAACCACGGTTGAACTACAATTTTAGCACAAAATACCTTAATGCTAACTTATCTGGTATAACATTCCGTATGATTTTACAATTTTAGGTTTTTCTGAACATAAATCGAAGCTCGGGTCAGAGCAATGTGTCTATCCTGATTTAACGACGCTTGAACTACGATTATACCGTACTGGCGGTCCAATAGAAAAACTCCTAACGGAATCTTAATCGATAGGTAATTTTAGTTGTATGAAATTATATAACCACGGTTGAACTAAAATTTTAGCACAAAATGACCTAATGCTAGCAACTCATTATATAAAACTCTAAAACATGGCCAAGCATTGATGAGGCCGCCTCTCATTATGGATTAGCCAAAACCTAGAAGAAGAATAATTAGCAACAGGCCAATAAAAAAATGGTTGTGAGCAAAGCAAAACTAACCAACCTGTCACATTAGAATGACCCTTATGCAACAGTAGACACTTTCTAACTTTAATTGAAAGAAATAAATCCCACCGCAAGACCTGGTACTGCACACGCAGACTGCTTTTACTGCTCATGCTGACCGAGATGTACTGTTATAACCCGAAAGCTGGCGCTGTGTGGGCTGGCGTTGGGTGGGGGCTCTTTGGGATCGGACGGGTGTTTGGCGGTCGGTTGGGATGGAACTTGGTCGTTGGCCTGTTTTGGTCTGCTGGATCGGTTGTGGTCCACGAACGCGTTGGTCACCAGGGCCCTCTCGGTGGCTTGAGCCTGCCCAGTTGCTTGATTGGATTGATTTAAGGCGGCCGGTCTATTTTCCTTGGCAGCTGTGTCGGGGTCTTTGCAGGCGATCGACGTATCCGTGGGTGGGAGACTCAGAGATGGTGGGCCATAGGGGGACTGGAAGGGTTTATTGCAGTGCCTCTGCAAGTGGCTTAGGGCAAGGTCAGAGTATTTGAGGTGTGGACCGTTTAAGAGGTGGGAGTCGTGCCGGTTTCGGAGGCTGAGAGAGAAGGGAGGTATGGGAGAAGAGAGGTATGTCTTGCTGATGTAGACTGGGCATACTTTCTGAAACTGGAAAGGTAATTGAGGGGACTAATCAGGAAGCAGAGAAAGGAAAAAAAATATGAGGGGATAGGAGCTTGGTCAGGGAGGCAGAACAAATGAGATTGACGGTTGGCAGAAAAAATATGTGTGGTTAACCTAATCTACCCGTGGTACTATATTCTCTCTCATCGAGGTCAGAGGAGCACTCTTCTCTTGAAATATATCTTCCTTTTTCTTTGCATTCGTTTTCTCTTCCTTTTCTTGATTGGTTTCATTCTCTCTCTTTCTATCTATAAAAATGGGGTTTCTTTGATCCTCTTTTTTCAGGTTTGTTCATCCCCTCTCTCAGGAACAGAAGGATCCGAGCTTTGCATCAGAGCTGATTCATCCTTCAGCTGTGAATCTCCTGTGGTGAGTCTTTCTATGGATGCTTTGTATTTCGTTTGTTTCAGTGGATCGATCGGAGTTCCCTGATTTCGTTTGTGATTTGCTGTTGGGATTTGAGTGTCCTGGAGTGGATTTTGAGCTATTTGGAAGAGGGAGGGAGGATTCGAAGAACACCCAGAACCACAGGTTCTATACTGATTTCAGGTGATTGTTCCTCTGTCTCTCAAAATTTTGTTTCTGTCGTAATGGTTTATATATATTGATCATCTTTTGTTTTCTCTCTACTTTTGGCTCTCTTCTCATTTTCGAAACCAGTAGAGCTTGGAGCAATCAACTGGCAAATTTGAGAGGGTCGGAGAGGAATTGGAAGAGACTCAGATCCCCAAAGTATGTTTTCTGTGTTTTCCTGATTGAGATTTATATTACTCTTTCATCATTTTAAATCTTAATGCACTTTCTCTTGATGAGAGAGAAATTATTTATCTCATCATTAATTGGTTTCTTTCTTTTTCTTCTCACCTTCAAAAGATTGGTTGGAGCAAGAAGGGAGTGAGCTCTGCGTTGTCCACGGTGGGAGACTGAACAGCGGATTCAAGCAGTCGTTGCAAGCGGCCACCTAGGAATGGCCGAGAATCCATGTCTGACGTGGAGAGAACGCGGAGAAGACCTAGAATCGCCAGATCTGCTGCACCTATTCCTTTGTTGATCGGGGTTGGACAATACCCACGACCCGGGAAGACGAAGTCCATGACAAAGGGAAACCAGATTTGCGAACCATGCCGTTGAGAATGGTGTAGGAAAGTGTAGTCTCGAGGTGCCTGTAATACTGATCAAAGAAGGTTTGAAGGCTTTCATCTCTTCTCCATAAAATGGTAGGAAATTATTGTTTGTTAATTGTTAAGTGTGGTCTCGAGGTGACTGTATGTCGTGTCAAGTATTTGCCTTATGATGCTTATCAAATTTACCATTTTTCCTAGGGTTATGTTGCCCTGTTCGTCGCTCGACGAGTTCCATCTGTTGACGGGTTCTTCATGCTTTCAAATTCCTTGAGAGGAAAGAATTTTTGCTAATTTTTTGGGTGGGTTTCGAACCCACGAGTTATTGCATCTTGATTAGGATTAGAATCCACTCTTACTATTTGTTGGCCTTATTCCCTGTAATGTATTTGAATGGTGACCCATGAATTATTGCATGGTGGCAGAACAAGTGTTGCCTTTGCAATTGCTACTATTTTGAATATATGTATGGAGAATTTCACTTTGATCCTTCTATGTTTGCAGATGGGGTCCTTTGAACGATAGGGGAGATGGTTACATTTTGTGGGCAAAGGAACAGGGCTAGGAAGTGTTAGTGTATCTAATGAACCTCTTATGTACAAGGAAAATAGTTAAGTTCTGGCGAGAAGGAACAAAAAGACCTATGTATGGTTATTGTACGTGGTGTAATGGTGTTGTTTATGTTTTTTTATGATGTCGTATATAACGTTGATTGCCTTGGTGGACATCTCTCTCCCATGTCACCTATCTTTTGTTTGATGTTCAGCTTTTGCAAGTACAGGAGGTGCACTATTGAGTAGCTTGCGTGTTGAGTTTTCCCAGTGTTGTTCATGGATCAATAGCCAAGGTTTCTAGCCGATTATGGGTTGCAACGGTTTTAGAGTGTAGTCAAGAAAGGAGGAGCAACCAGTTGATGATTTTTTGCCTATGTTGAACATGGCCATAGATGAGGAACCGAGTACAACCCATGTTTTAAATATACAGCAAGAGCAAACTTTAGTTTGATTGTGTGGTATCACCTAGACCATTGACGATGTTAAAAATGAATAGACAATAACAAACTGCGGTTACATGATTAGAGTGTTCTCGAATGAAATATTGGTGTTTTCTCAATTTGCTTCAAGCCCGGACGCGGATAGATAAATATAAGTAACGGGCCCTCTTTTACGATATATAAGTAGATATATGAATTGGGCCCAGTATTCTCATATTTAGCCCGAATAGGAGATGCCTTTATGCTTATATTAAGTTTCTCTAGCTTTTGGGAAGCCCATTCTATAGTTGTTCGGTCCATTAGGGGAACAATTGATGGCCCATTGAATATTCAATTTATGATTTTATAATGGTGGTGCGAAAACGTTTTAGGGACCAACTTCCACCACCTTTTCATTTCAGTTCTGATTCTGCCTTTTTAACTTCCCCTGTTCTCTGAACTTCTTTTCCCAGGAACTACAGTACTTCGCAACTTCGAGATCAGAGATAGTCGTGTATTCATGGGGTATGATCGCCGATACTTTTCCCTTTTGCATTCTGTTTCTGCTTCTTGACACTTTAACAAATTTTTGATCTTCTATTGTCTTGCCATATCAGGCATCGTTGTATAATGCCGCGTGATTTCAAACTTCCAACTCTTCCACGAGGTATCGACTCTGTTGCTTTCTGTTTCAAGTTTCTATTTGTTGGTTTATGAATGAACACTGCCGAGGTGTGAAGTTTTGGGGGTTTTCATTGTCTTTCGTTTACCACAGACCCAATTTCCACATGCAAGGTGTTTCGTGGTCTACGCGTTGGTGCTTATATTGATATTATGATCGTCCGAGTTCTTAATATATGGATTGAGTATAGTGATGACTCTCAGGGGCATAAAAGAACAATGCATGTGCTGTGTCTTGACAAAGAGGTCTGTCATTCGTCTATATGATGTAATATTTATTGTTTATGTTTGATTTTATTGTAGTAATGCACTAGATCACATTTAACAGGAACATATGCTAGAGGCCTGTATTGAGGAAGATGACATTCAAGAAATGCAACATAAGTTTAAAGTAGGAGATTTACATGTTCTGGATGGCTTTCATGTTATTCCTGCAAGGGAAAACAGGCGTGTTGTTCCCGCCGAAGTTCTCTTTGCCATAAGGCGTGAACAGATCATATTTTGTGTGCCTGACAATCCGGGTTATCCAAAGTTTCCTGTCAATGCTTTTCTGAAAACTTCGTTCTCGGTTGTTCCAATAGAGGCAGAAGCAGTTGTGAATTATGGAGGTATCTTCCTCGAAAGTTGTTTTCACAAAAAGTATTCATGATTATTTGCTAACTATGAATTTAATTGCAGATGTTACGGGTTGCGTTGTTCATCTAAAAATTCCATAATTTTCAAGTAATGGTGTTCTTAGGTTTGAGCTCATCATAGAAAACAGCAGGCTTCTTGTGTATTCTTGTGCTGACTTTTGTTTGTTAGACTTTATGTGGGATTAACTGATCTTTTGCTATTTGTGTAGAGGCGACAAGGCGACAGTGTACTACTCTGGAACTGAGGTTACAAAGTATTTGGAGTTTGCAGGCGAATCTGAAGCTCGGCTTCCTCTCATTACCACAATTACTGCTGTTACAAGGTTGCCAATTACAGATGGAACTGGAGATGCATATGTATTTCAATCTTCACCTGGAAGTCGTCTGATCATTGCTTCTTACAATCACCATTATGAGAAAATCATAAATAGGTATTATTATATTCGAATTCTATGTTTATATATTGACAGCCCTGCTCTGTTGGATGCTAGAAAAACAATATGAACATTCTTTTTGCTTTTTAGGTTCATAGGTGATCGAATGCCAGTGACTTACATCAATAGCACTTCTCGCTGCTCTATTGGTTATCTCCGTGGTCTTCTTCCTCCCAAAAGAACACTAAGGAAGCTAAAGGATGATATAATGTTCCATGCACAGGCCTACCAAGTATATGTATCATATTTGTTGTTCTGATTGTATTGGATAACACATATCCCAAATATATAGTCATATCTTTTACCTATTATAACACAAATTCCTTCCTTCAGGCTCTCTATCATTGTATGCTGGAAATGACAAGATTTACATACGGTCCAGAAGTCTTTAAATCCTGTTCAGGTTTTCCAAGGTATGATTCAACTTTATGTTTTGCTAATAATCTGTTGTCCATTGCATTTCAGTAAAATCAAAACGTTCCTTTTATTGTTTAATTCAGGGTACGATATGAATTACAAGCAACATGTGAGTATGAGGGAGAATATGTTGATGTTGTGTTTGATCATGAGCCTGTGTTGGGCTTGGTTTGGGTTTCACCTGAGGAACTTTTCAGTCTAACCTATGAAGAAGGATATCAGTGCATTCAAGACAGGTGTTATGTGCCTTTTATGGCTGAAGCTTATGTTGCTCCTGGGACTTCAGGAAATCCTCCTACAATCCGAATTGCTTCAATCTGGAACCCTAAAGCTTTCGTGTGATTGAAAATTGTTCTACTTGGAACTTAGTTTGTCGGGACAGCTTATTTATAATTATGTATGTTATCTATTCAAGACATGTTGCTCTGTTTTCTGTAAAAAAACTTATTGTTTTTCCCTAACTACTCTGGTTTTTTGGAAATTCACTGATGTACTCACTTCGACCATTGACTGACCGCTGGTTATTCTGTTCAGTCCATATGGAAGTCCCTGATGTTTGTACCTCAATAGTTCAGAGAGGTGAATGTTTTGTTTTGTTTGGATACAAATACCTAGGCTAAATTACACCGTTAGTCACCGGCCGTTAACCTCTGTCAGATTCCGTTAACTCCGTTAACTTTTTGATGATGTGGCAAACAGAACTATTAAGTGGGCTCACAAAAAGGCTGAGTCATACAAATTGACCGCCTAGTCGGCCACATCCAATCCAATTGACCAAAACTTAATATTTAATTTTTCTACATTTTCTTAAGAGCTAAAAAGAAAAAGAAAATTAAATCACAATCCTTCTCATCCCCTCTTTCGTCTTACCCTTCCACTTCTCCTTCTTCTCCTCCACTCGCGGCCGTCTGAATCATCTGAAAGAAATCCCCAAACCCTTGAGACCTCCTCTCAACCTTCCTCTGTTCTTCGTCCAGGAAGCGCCACTCCGTCGCCGTGTTGATCGAGGGCAACAACATCAAGCTCGCCTCTGCCAGATCCGAGAGCGTTCGCTAGCTGTGGATCTCACAATTGAAGCCGGTGTTGGGGATCCCGCCATCTCTCCCACAGCCGTTGCCGCCTTAAGCTATCTTCCCTCGCAGGCCCCATCCATCCGAGCTTAGGCAGCATCCGTCTCCCTAGCCGGCAATCGCCTCGATGGCTCAATCCCTCCTTCATTTTCGACCCTCCAAACCTCCAGCTCCTCTCGAAATTCCCTTACCGGAACCATCTTCATCCCTAAATCACCCATTCCTACATTGGTACAGTCTATCGACCCCAGCCACAACTTGCTATCCGACCAAATCCCCACAAGCAAAATCCCGAGTAGCTTCCCCACATCGGATGGAGTCGACGACTTCTCAAACATCCCTTCCTTTTCTATCACCATCACCCCTTTTTCCACGTCCAATTCATCGTCTACTGTGGAGGGGGATGAGTCATCGTGGTTGAGATTGAAATTGAGGGCGGCGGAGAAAGGGGATGGGTTTTGGTTGTGGGCAACAGAGTTTGATGGTGGCGAGTGGCGACGACGGATCGTCTCCGCCCCTCCATTTCCAGAGGTCAGCGATGGATGAAAGAGGAAAGGGAATTTAGAAATTGTACTATTGATTGGGTTGGGTGAGGCTGACCAGGCGGTCAACTTTTTTTTTTAAATTACATGTCACTAAGTTAACGGTCCAGTCAGCATTTCTGTTTGCCACATCATCAGAAAACTGACGGAGTTAACGGTGTCTAACGGAAACTAACGGTCGGTGACCAACGGTGAAACGATTTGTAAAGTTAGTGGTGAATAAGAAAGAAAAGTAATTCGAGTGGCAAACATGAAATATTTATGTAATTCGAGTGATCAAATGTGCAATTTAGCCCAAATACCTAAGTTGTTTCTTATACAACATGAGGGAAATCACATTGAAGCAATTGCAGATGATATATACGAATCATTTGACACCAATTATATGCGCCCAGCATATCTAAAAAATAGGACAATAGTTGCGCCAAGGAATGCAACCGTGTCTCAGATTAATGATTATATGATGCAAAGGGTTCCTGGTGATTCAAAGACGT